GGGGGGAGAATAGGGGAACCCATGGCTGATATGTAGAACTGAATGGTATTGTAAAATAAAAAATATATATCACAAAAAAAAAGAGCACAGGAAACAAAAAAAAAAAAAAAAAAAGCTTGAGAAATACGTATGCCATTGATTTTACAATAAATTACCCATTTATGTGGATTAAATGATCAACACACCAGATTGCCCGTGGGGTTGCATTTCTGAATATGGATATAGCCCACAAATAGCAATGAGGACACAAGATGCCCCAATTGAAATGCCCAGCCCTGAGGTAGCTCTTGATTGTGGATTTCCCTGTGGGGCACAATGGAGCTGCTGCTTGCCTGTGGGACTCAATTCTGTTGTCTGTCACCAAATATCATTGATTTTACAGCTGCTCGGCTCTGGGCTTCTTTTCTGTGTTAATGTCTCAATAGGAACGTGTCAAATGACGGGCGGAGCCAATGCTGTAAATGATCGGAGCACTTGCCTTTGCCTTATCTGATCCTTCCTTCTAGTTCAGGAAGGATTTCAACATCACTCCTTGGCACAGAAGGCTCTCCTTGACTCTCACCTGGAGGCCTCTCGCTCACGGGCGTGAAGATCTGGCGTCCTGATACGGACTGTACCCATGAGTCAATCACAGGTGTGAGCGCTTGTGAATTTCCTAGTAGGAGGCAGCCAGGACCACATCTGGTCCCTGAATGTAGAGGGAGGCTTGACAATCATCGTTGCTTTTTTAACTAGCCCACTCCCACAGCCTGCCCAGTGAATAATAGCCATGGCCTCCGCTTCTGACGTACTCACTTAGGATGGCCTGGACACCACTGAGGAAATCCCTAAATGGTTCTGAACCCACTCGCTCAGCAGATGGCCAAGGGGCTGCAGGGGCCCATGCCGTAGAGCGCCTTGGGAGCCAGTCAAGGCCATTGGAGGCAGTCACAGACCTCATCTGTCCAGCCAGCGGCTCCAGGGAGGAGGGCTGCCGTGGGTCACTGCCTTTGGACTGAGCTGTTAAACCCACAGATTATTCAACAGGAGAGGAGGAAGAGAATGGAGGTGGGAAAGCAAAAAGAGGGAAAGAGAGTGAGGGGGGGAGTATGCACAAGAGAAAGGGGGAGACAGACAGACAGACAGACAGACAGACAGAGGTTACGTTCCTGCTTCATCACGCAGGCTTGTCAGCAGGCCCACCCTTCTCTACTTTGCTTGGCAGCATCACAGTGCCCTGGGGTCAGCCTGTCCAACAGGAAAGACAGACTGCCTATTTCCACTGCATTTGGAGGTCCTCGCCAGCATCCTGAAGGAGCACTCCTAGCTCTAACCCAGATGGGGTAACCTGGAACAACAAAATGACAACGGAACCAACACACCCATGCCCCTCATTAGCACTTGACCTGTAGAGGAGACAAACGTGTTATTCTTTCCTCACAAGCGGATGAAGAGAAAGGACAGGTCGGGGTTGAAAGGCGAGTCGGAGTGAACCCTTTGACTGATTCAGTGTGAGGCAGATCAAAGCAAGCTGCCCCAGCATGGCGCTCAAGCGCATTGCTTTCCGAGGTATCCAGAGCCTTCAAAGTGCTTGGAGGTGACCCCAGACCCTGGTGTGCATAACCAAATGCATATGCCATCTCTGTCACACCTTGCAGAAGAGGCTGGCTGTGTAGGTGACTTGAGGATATATTCATTTTCTGGCCACTTAATGTGCTGGAGAAAGATTAACCAGCTGTGATATGCAAAGGGACTCAGATTTCTCCCCGTGGGATACAGAGAAGGGATTGTTTGTAGTGCTGGTGTGAGGCAGGGACGAACTCCCAGAGAATGAGGTTACGGTAAACACATCACACTCCAGGGCCTGCTCTGGGCATTTCCGGGCAGCAAGATCTTCCCCCATTGGAGAGGTGCGGTTGGAAGTTGGCCTGCCCAAGGAAAGCCTGACCCGAAGGCTGGTCCCTCTTTAAAGTAAACTAACGCTCACCCTTTGACTCTTGGTCAAGAGTCGTCCTGAGCTGACCGAGGCTGCCTTCAGCAGCATTTGGAGTCTTGCAGAGGAAACCTCGGGACCAGCTGCCTCTAGGAACCATGCCGACGGTGGATGATATTCTAGAACATATAGGGGAATTCCACCTTTTCCAGAAACAGACATTTTTCCTCTTAGCTCTGCTCTCAGGTGCCTTCACTCCCATCTACGTGGGCATCGTCTTCCTGGGCTTCACCCCTAACCACCGCTGCTGGAGTCCTGGGGTGGCCGAGCTGAGCCGGCGATGTGGCTGGAGCCTAGCAGAGGAGATGAACTACACCGTGCCGGGCCTGGGCTCTGCGGACGAGGCCTCCTTCCTCAGCCAGTGCATGCAGTATGAGGTGGACTGGAACCAGAGCACCCTTGACTGCGTGGACCCACTGTCCAGCCTGGCTGCCAACAGGAGCCACTTGCCACTGAGCCCCTGCCGGCACGGCTGGGTGTACGACACTCCCGGCTCCTCCATCGTCACTGAGGTAAGTGAGCTCAGGAATCAAGATGCAAAAAAAAGCAAATAGTTGACCTTGTCTTAAGGGAGAACTAGGAAGCGCATGGTTCTTTGACTTGCCCAGGCACGCTTTTTGGACTCCTATGCCTTATAAAATCCTAGTTTCCTGGTAAAGACATGCAGCCTCTCCCTCGTCTGAGGTAGTTAGTGAGAACTCCTTCGATGCTGACAGGCATGATTCTGGTATGTGCAGGTCTCCGCAGTCAGCAACAAGCAAACAGGCATCGGGATGCCTGAAAATGATGCCAGCTGTGGGCAGGCTTCTACCGTTCACATTTGCCAGAAGCCTTCTATTCCACCACACAAGCGCCACCAAAAAGAGCGTGGCCCTCCCCTGATCTGTGATCTGCTAGCGGGTGTTGTTATAAGATGTGCTTTTCTCTCCCGAGATATATGTGTTCCTCTTTAGTGTGGCCCAAATGCCCACGGGAAATTTGGGGGCTGGAGGTTAGACTATGGCACAACTATGTTTATTAAGAAGAATAGTCACAGGGGCAGGCAAGGTGGCTTAGGGGGTCAATGCACTTGCCACGCAAGCCTGACAACTCAAGGTCAATCCCAAACCCCTGTAAAAGTGACAGGTGCTTACCTACTCACATGCATCACGCACGCGCGCACACACACAAAATGATGATATGTGTGGTTTTAAAGATACAGTCATGGCTGAGGGTACGGCTCAGTAGGTAAAGTGCTTGCCTTGTAAACTTGAGTGCCTGAGTTTAACGTCCAGAACCCACAGGAAAAAAAGCCCGGGGTGGGCATGTGAACATAGTCCCAGCATTCGGGAGGCAAAGATGGGTGGCTTCCTGAGGCTGGCTAACCAGCCAGCTGCACAGAGTCGGCCAGATTCAGGCCAATGAGAGACCCTATCTCAATAAAAAGTAAGAAGGATGGCTCCTGACAAATGGAAGCTGGAGCTGCTCTCTGGCCCCATATGCAAGTGTGCATAAAACATGGACACTCGCCGGGCATCGGTGGCACACGCCTTTAATCCCAGCACTCGGGAGGCAGAGCCAGGCGGATCTCTGTGAGTTCGAGGCCAGCCTGGACTACAGAGTGAGTTCTAGGAAAGGCTAAAAGCTACCCAGAGAAACCCTGTCTCAGAAAAAAAAAAAAAAAAACATGGGCACTCACATGCATGCATACACACACATGCATATGATCTCATTGTGAAGCCTCGTTCCCTGAAGAGACAAGCAAGCATGGAAACTTCCTGTGGAATTGTCCTACAAACACAGAGGAAGTGGTTAAGCAGTTGGAAAGGACTGCCTGGGTCCTACCAGGGTCTCCCAGCCTTTAGTGGAGGAGCCACGTCTGGGGGATCTGGAATGGGCTTCGTGCCACATCAAGGTTCCCGGAATGGACAGCGTATCACTCTAAAATAGTTTTGCTGAGTGACTCACCTCATCGCTTTGTACAGAGGTCAGGAAACTGAGGCCAGAGCAGGAGAACTCAGTTGTGCACCAGGCTACAGAGTGAGAGATGGCAGAGTGAGTCACAAGACCATCCCTTGTCTGCCCGGCCAGCACTGCCCACCCTCCACCTGCCTTCCGGGCAAATCAGACCAAAGGTATCGATCGTAGGCAGGATACTTTGAATCCCCCTATTGTTTAAAAATAAGATAGCTTCAAGATGCTTAGACCTCCCTCTTCCTAGCTGCACAGGTATGTCACGTGTCTACTTCCCCTCACATCTGCGTCTTAGGACTAGAAGGGAGAAGGTGGACTTGTCTAAAGTCAAGTCACTACCTGCTTTCAGTTGATAGAGCCAACACGTTACCCGATGCCAGACTCACACTGTCAGGTGGAATGCTAAATGGATTCCAGGGAAAATCTTTTACTGGCGTATAGAAAATTATCATGGGTTAGGAAACAGCTGGGTTATTGGCACTAAGCACCATGCTCTAATTAGGTGAACCCCTGGAGCTCCCAGGAACTCCCAGTTCAGAATATTCAAAGAACGCTCTGAGCTGAACTGTGTTCTAACAAGATTCTAACAGCATTTTCTCCCTCTCTCCCTCCTGCTCCTTCCCTGGGCTTGGACCACTCCTCACATCTGGACAGTTTAACCTAGTGTGTGCTCACTCCTGGATGCTGGACCTGTTTCAGTCGGTGGTGAACGTGGGGTTTTTCATCGGTGCTGTAGGGATTGGCTACCTAGCAGACAGGTAGGTGAAACACCTACGGGCCTTTTTAAATAAATAACCTACAGGTTCAGACAGCGCTTGGGCTCACCCACCCTGCGGAATCCTTCTGCGCCCCCCCTACACAGACAGACCACTCACTCCCACCCGCCTTAGTGGTGGTTGCTTTTATAACCTTGGATTTTTTTTTTCAGCTGCTTTGATAATAATGACTCATGCTTGACTCTCAGACCCTCTGGAGGTCAGAGGAGGTGTCAGCCACCAGGCAGGACTCTTATGGGCTATCTACCAGTGCAGGGCTGGAAGAGGCAACAAATGATGTCATCCCTCCTGTGATTCTCTTCACTCTCTGGCCTGTCTCCCACGTGGTCATGAACCTCCAGGAGCTGCGGGCTCCATCCATCAGGACAGCTAATGCTCATGTATCAGAAGCCCATCCCTCGGCTTTATGCCTATCCGTCTCCATATTCAGTGTCCATAGCGGCCAAGCTGTGCTCTGGCTCTGGTTGCCCACCATTGTGGACTCCTGCTCACTGTACAAAAGTGTTTTTTTTTTAATTTTCATATTTTTGTGTTTTATTCATTTAATTTTACCTTTTTAATTAAAATATTATTTCATCACCCCCTTACCTTTCCTCCTTCCAATACCTCCAATGTCCCCCAACTCTCAAACTGATAGCCTCTTTTTCTTTGATTATCAAAGAAATACTTTATTATCAAAGAAATATATGTATGGACAAATATATAAATACAACCTGCTGTACTTTTGTTTTGTTTTGTTTTGTTTTGTTTTGTTTTGTTTTGTTTTGTTTTGTTTTGTTTTGTCGTGTGTATTTGGTTTCAGGGCTGATCAGGATAACCAGTCAAGGAGTTCATCCCTGGGAAAGGCTAATTCTCACTCTCTTAGCAGTCATTGGCTGCCTGTAGTTCTTGGTCTAGGGGTGGGCCCTGGAAGAGCTTCCCCTTTCCAAGTTAGCGTGTCTATTGATATTGTCAGTGCCCGTATCTTGTCTACACAGCCATTTCTAAAGGAGGCAGGCCCACAGCAGACTTTAGACCTCCTGCTCCTTTGCAGGCCTCTTCCATGATGTTCCCCGGCCACAGAGCTGTGTAAACTGTGCAGGTATATTTACTCACTGGGGCTGGGTGTCCCACGATCCACTGATTTTTGCGCTGTGTCCAGTTACAGTTTCCTGTAAGGGTCTCCGTCTGCTGTAGAGAGAAGTTTCCTTTTTGATGAAGAGCGATGGCTACATTTCCCTGTGGGGTATAAGGAGAAGACTTAGAGTGTGACTAAGGGAGTTCTTTATAACATGCATCTTTGCTCTGTAGATGACATTAGCTAGTAAGGAAAGTCCTCAACAGGGAGAGGAATAGACACTTGAGGAGTACTGTAGATACCTGGGTCATCAGAGTCAATGATATAATAGTCATAATACCCCCATGTGCCTGGGCCATCAGAGTCAGTGATACAATATTCATAATGCCTCCATGTGCAGAGTGCTTTCCACAAGCCAGGCACTGAAACTCTGTGACCTGGATGGTATCACTCTAATTGCCAGTCACCTAACAGCATAGTGATACGTGCCTGTGTGTTTATGTGCATGATATATGTTATGATGATACATCTGTGTAGTCTATATATATATATGTGTGTGTGTGTGTGTGTGTGTGTGTGTGTGTGTGTGTGTGTGTGTGTGTGTATACAGAGAGACATGGCTAGAAATAGCATTTCTGTGCCACATAAATGCAGTGGGTACAAATAGCCCCAGATAATCAGATGTAATAACACAAGTAGGAAATGATAGGCTTTACATGTTTATTGCACTTGTTTTTAATGAAATTTAATTGTAAGCATGCATAACTCTTAATAATGGCTGTAGTAAACAATCAGCCTGCAAAAATACATATTTGACTCAGAAATATATGACAACTGAGTCCTGTGCTCACTTACTGCCCTTCCAGACCTCCCCAGCCGTCTCTCTACTGTGGATATAATCTAAATGTAAGACAGCTTTCTTTGATTATACATCAAGCTGGCATCAAAATTGCAAAAGAATGAAAGGTTCTTAGGAACGTACTGACTTGACAAGAGCCTGGGGCCCTGTTGGCAGCAGGAGGGAGGTGGATGGAGGTGGAGGCACAGTGCCAAAAGTCACAATGCATTTGTAACTGTCTGCTCAGCCTCCCTGGCTAGGCTGTCCCCGAGATGGGCTGTGGGAGGCTGTGAGGTGGAGGGGGTGGTGATTTCGTTTTCTTGTGATTATACAGAACTGAGGGTAGCTATTTGCAGGCTGCCTGTGAAGTCAAGACAGACACATTAATGAGGAGGTCCAGGGTCCAATCACACTCTCAGGCCACTGGCTAGGCAGCTCCTGGTTCAGCCACGCCCTGGCACACCAAAGTGGACGTTAACACTAGCTCTCCAGAAGTGTCATGCGAACAGGTGACAGCCTCACCCAGTAGGCTTCAGAAGCCAGTTAATTATTCTCATCCCACTCAAGGAGGCCAGGTCCAATCCCTCCTCAAAGCACATTCCGGAGAACAATCCCTCCAGCTCCCCTCCTCCTCAAGTGAGCTCATCCTTCCGTTCCCATGCAGGCAATCTCTAGAAAGCTCTTACTCCCTTTTGCTCCCCTGAAGGCTTTCAATGTGTCTCTAGTTCTTTTCCCAAAGCTACTTGAAGCCTTGCTTTATTGCTCTTTTTCTGTCCCACATGCATGCAAGAGAGCAGAGCAGGACTAGGGACAGAAGACATACCATTTCTCTTCTGCATACTTAATGCCCACTACAAGCTTTGGACGTCACACAATAAGTTAAAAATGTCATGAAAACCCATTTTATCCACAAATTGTAACCAACATTAAAATAAAATACTGTTTTTCACAAGCAAAATTTTAAACATGCCCCAACAGCTGATTTGGGCATGGTGTTTAGAAGAAAGTCAGGAGGATATTTTGAAATTATCCAGATAAGAACACTAAAAAAAAAAAAAAAAAGGAAAGGAAAGGAAATAGAAAAAGAGGAAGGAAGAAAAAGACAGGAAGGGAGGAGAGGAAGAAAGAAAGAATAAGGGATGGGGGAGGGGAGAGGGGGAAGGAGGGAAGGAGGGAGGGAGGGAGGGAGGAAGGGAGGGGCGGGGGAGAAGGAGATAAATTGTCTTACAGGAATTCAACTTTTTTAGGGTCCATTTGTGACATAGATTTTGAAATCGGTTGTTTCCTAAAAGTTCTAGTTTATTTCTTCACTCACAACTTGCTGAGGAAGGGTTTGGACCGTCATCTGACACACAGAAAAGCAATCTTTCATCAGTTCCAAGCACTGTACTTAATAAGGACTAAGGAGTGTTGCATTGAGCGGCATGCCTGCAGGCGTTGAAAGGCAAACTTTCTGGAGGGACAGGTCCACCAAAGCAAGGCCGCTGGACACAAAGGTGTCTAGAAACCGCATTTCCTCCACATCATCATGAGTGCGGATAACCTCAGAGGCTCGGGGATGGGATGTAATAAGTAGAAAGTAGCATGTTTTATACCTGCTTACCCTTGCTTTAATGTAACATTTACATTGTCAGTGTGTGTCACTTGACTTTTAACAGTGGCTCTGTTTAACAATTCATTTCCATCTCTTCCTCTTGGGAGTCAGCGCCTGCTCTCCCGAGGGAAGCAGCTCAAAGCAGAGCCCTGGTGGGCTGCCCTCAACTGTTAACAAGTGTTTAGAATCATCAGAAACAAACTTTCCAGTGACCTTACAGACCAACTGTTTTACTGGGCCTCCTCATGTGATCTCTCTTAGGAGCATGACATCTTTGTAAAGTAGATTTTAGTGCCTGTCCTTTACAGAGAAGGAAACTGAGGCAGGACAGAATCGAAGCACTTCTTCCCAGGCATTAATGACCATATCAGTCAACCCAGATTTTGTTATAAGTCAAGCTCTGATCCCTCTGTCTGGGTAAGCTTGAGGCTCTGCATCTTTATGCTCTCCCAAATAATGCTGTTCACCCCTCCCCCGATGAAGGTGGACCTGGTCTCTATACTAGGTAGTAGACAGCTAAAGGACACTCTAAAATGGTGCCCAGCCACTCTGGTTCTGTCTGGTTTTCATTAAGTAATTTAGGTGGCTATGGTGTCTGTGGCAATAGAAGAAGGGTATCTAGCTACTGACTCAGACTCCCAAAACATCTTTTAAAAAAAGACACCGCCTCTTTTACTGGGACAACTGCAGTCTCTCTGTAACAGGGACTTAGTTTTCCTGCTTGGAGCCTTCAATAATGCAGTTCCCCCTTCCAGTCAAAGGATTTTGTCCTTCGACAGCATTACCACTGTGGCTTTACTATGAGTCCAAATACACTAGGCACTGAGGAACTGCCACGTGAGTACATCCTTACAGACTATAAGTTCCAAGGAAAGGGTTGTAGGTGTGTCCTGTCCATGTCCCACATTCCACTTGTAGTCAAGGACAGCTGTGGAGGCAGTCCAGCACAGAATACAAATTTACTTAAAACTTTGAGGTAGGGGTGTGTGTGTGTGTGTGTGTGTGTGTGTGTGTGTGTGTGTGTGTAGCATGAATTTTAAAAATTCTTATTAATAAAAACAAATCGGGAGCCAGGGATTGGGGTGAACACTGGAAGATCAGAGAAGCAGAACAAACCACAGCCACCTCACCTCACCAGTTCCTCAGCTGATCCTGTTTCCTCAGACTGGAAGCCTCTGAGTCCTCATCCAAATGGATCTCAGCTGAACTATTGCTCAAAAGCCTAAAAGCTTAACCTGAACTTAGTTCCTTGTCCTCATGCTTTATATACCTTTCTACTTTCTGCCATCACTTCCTGGGATTAAAGGCTCTTGTTACCATGTCTGGCTGTTTCCAGTGTGGCCTTGAACTCACAGAGATCCAGGCTGATCTCTGCTTCTAGAATGATAGGATTAAAGGCGTGTGTGCCACCATTTTCTGGCCTCTGTATCTAGTGGCTGTTCTGTTCTCTGACCCCAGATAAGTTTATTAGGGTGCACAATATTTTGGGGAAC